AACCGTCATCTCCTGATTCATAGGTTGATGATTAACCACTGAGCCACACCAGCCAGGCTATGCACACTTTTATAGTAAAAAAACAGTGGCTGTGAATCTTGCAAAAATGCACAGGTGATATAATCATCTTCTAAATTATAACTAGAGGTCAAAGGGATGGAAAATGGAATTTGGGGTGAATGCAATCTATCAAGAGAAACCATACATTTTATGCTCATTAAGACCAAGTTCTGCCTTCTATATTAGCATTATCTTTGCACTTATTTTTATTGATTTTTTTAAGAGAGAGAGGGAAGGAGAGGGAGAGAGACAGACATCTTTGAGAAATATCAATCACCAATAGGCTGTCTCCTGTATGCCCCCTACTGAGGATCAAGCCCACATACCAGGCATGTGCCCTGACTGAAAATCCAACCAGTGATCTATTGGTACATAGGATGATGCTTAACCAACTGAGCCACACCGGAGATATTGATATATCCAAACTCATGCCATTCCCAAAGGTTTTTCTCTGTCGGACACACTTCTTTTCAACCTTCTCAGTTTATAGCAGTCTTCAGGAAATATTAATAATGTAATTTTTAGATTATAAATTGCTTTCACAGATATTGTTGCTCTATTTAATTCTCTCAGAAACCCAGTAAGATACACAGGGAAAGTATCATCACTATCCCTGTTCTCAAATTAAGGAAGCTGAAGCACAATTACCATTAGTATAACTGGAAGGAGTTGAGCTAGAGTAGAGATCTCTGACTTCAAATTCCGAGCTCTCTGAGCCACGAGAAATCTGTATTAATTGCTTATAATATCCACATACACTAACACTCTCTATCGCACTTTTGATATGTATGGATATATATTCGATGCTCAAATCTACATTTATAATGGCTGCATATTTCAGGAATGATCTCCTGCCGTATCCATGCCTTTATTTAGCTATCATTTCATTGAACTTCCTGGGAGAACATCCTCTGCTCAAGCAGCCATTCTCCCTTGGCTTCTGTGATCGCGTTGTTCCTTACTGGGGCTTTGAACACCCACCCCATCTGCCAACCTCCCTTGATTGAATTTCTGGGGCTTTCCGTGTGCATTGGGATTTCTTCTATGACATGCAGCTTAGCTCCTCTGTTGTTTTCTTCTTTGAGCTCCATTATCAGGAAGGTTATTTTTGTCTTCCCTGTAACCTCATTAATGCAGGATGGTGAAAGATAAGGAGAGAGCAGACATCAACAGAGGGAAGTGGCTGAATCCACCAGGACTCTTCTCTCTTTATTCCCTCTTTCCTTCATTTTTGTCATGGGGGATCATAGCTATTTTTCAAGGAAATTCTTGGGGCAGAATAGTATAAATCTATATTAATTACATCAATATGAGCCTCTTTAGGGTATGTGCTATAAAGTTGGCTATAATGTTTAAATATTCATAAATTTTTAAATGCTTGCTGTTAATCTCGCTCACATCTTTACTACTGAAAATTCTTACAGAGCAGGACAAAAAATCCTGCCATTTAATCCTTGCTATGTCTTGATTTGTTAACTCCATTTATCTTTTACCCATAAAATACATTAAAAGATATATGGCCCTCGCCGGTTTGGCTCAGTGGAGAGAGCATCGGCCTGCAGACTGAAGGGTCCCAGGTTCCATTCTGGTCAAGGGCACATGCCCAGGTTATGGGCTGGATCCTCAGTTTGGGGTGTGCAGGAGGCAGCCAATCAATGATTCTCTCGCATCGTTGATGTTTCTATCTCTCACTTTCCCTTCCTCTCTGAAATCAATAAAAAATATTTTTAAAAATAGATATATGCAATGCCCCAACAAGAGTAAATATCTCATCTTTTTATTCACTAGCCCTGTCCTATTTTAGCACATTTACTGAAGAGTTGAGTAGAGGGTATATGCAGTAAGAAGAGGGAGGAATGTGGGCAGAGAGCAGTGGGAAGTAGATAGAGATGCTTCATATCTGGTGCAAACTTTCTGCCCTGGCTCCCCCATTCTTTGCCTTCCCCCCCCTTTTAGTCCTAATGGTCTCTTCTCAAGCTCTGTTTAAGAACATGCCACTCTCAAAGACAGAGATGGGTAGAGATGAGAGAAAAAGAGAATTCTCTCGCGCCCCCATTCTCCACCCCGACCCCCCACTCCCCAGAACCGTCACCAAGCAAAACTGTGGCCCCAGGGCGGCTGCTGATGCCTCGCCATCTAGCAAGGGCAGCCGCCCTGTTCCCTGTGGTCCTGGCCTCCCTGGCACTGCAGTGGGCGCCCTCTCTGAGGGTGGGTGGCGCTTGGGCAAGGGGACTTGGGGCGAGGGCAGCAGCGCAGCAGGCAGTGGGCGGCTTCCAGGGATGATTCCACTGAGAACTTCGCGTCAGATACATCCTCCACCAGAGTCCAGGGTCAAAACGTCGGATTATTGTTACTCTTTCGTTTATGGGAAGAAAATAAAAAATTCTTGTTCTTAATATCACTTCTGAGAAAAAAAAAAATTCTTGGGCTTGTTTTCCTGAATATATTTTCATATAATTTAACTCAAGCTTTGTACATGACTCTTCGGGAAGAGATACTAGGCTTGTGGTTTCAAAAATCATCTTGACAACGAAGGATACAAGAAAAATGCTTGTCCTTCTCACACACGGCATAGACCACAGCTATGAAGTGAATCCTTAGATTAACCCCGTAGGCCACCCCCAGGCAGATGGGGTCAGGCAGCAGAGCAGAGGTGCTACGTTCCTTGTAGCTAGTGCCTCTTGTGTTAAGGGATCACGCACCTGCTTATAATATTAACCACCTAATTCATCAACTACTGAAATGTTACCATTTTACATCATTTAAGATAGCAAGAGATTATACTACGGACTACCCTCCCCTTAGCTTTCAGAGACTTCTAAACGTCCATTGAATTCCAGAGTGTAGACAGGTAAATGTGGGCTTCATACTTCATTGATGGGACTGCATATTCCTGTTCTGATAGTTCATTGGCTTTCCCTCTCACAGAGGCACCTGTGGCGCAGCAGGCGTTTGCTGCTGCATCCACAGTGTGATCTCACAGCTGCCTTTGCTAACTAAACTGCACAGGTGAGAACAATTCTATTTTCAGGCAACCTTACACTGTCTTTGTATAAAAGCACAATATTGCACCTATTCAGCTAGTGTCAGTAAAGCCAAAGGGAAATCTTGTAGGAGTTTTCAGTCTAGTGTGCACATAGATACTAGCAGTTCTACTCCCACACCATTGAAAACAACTCATACAATAAGTTTCAGTTATTCCTTTGATTAGGAGAGATTGAGTGAGGGTGAGCCCAATAACTATATTACGCATAGCATTTCATTGCATTAGAGAGTTTTGGTATTCTCTGACCAAATTAGTATCCCTCTAATGAACTATTATAATGAGACTTCTTTGAAAACATATTGATATTGATCTATCAAAAAATAAGAACCCTAATAATGAAGTGAATTCCAGGCATAGCAGAAATGGTAGCTTGCCAAAACTGACAGCTTATCCACTTGTTTACATAAGATAAATAATCCATTTATTACGCTTTTTTCCCTGACATCCTTAATTGTTCATATTCCATCACATCAAATTTCTACATGTGGATATATTTGACCATTACTTCCTAGAAATATGCATTTTGATACATACCATGACACATCTTCCCAAATCACATGAGGCATACTAATGCTAAACACTGTATTTTAAATAGTTTATAAATTTAGTGTCAATGTGTCTCTTAAATTCATATTACCAACTGGAGAGTGTTATAGGAAATCTATTTAAACTAAAAAAAAAAAAATCCACAGATTTTAGCTATTCTAAAAATGAGAAATTTCTATAGTCAAAATTAAAAGACAAAAAGATCAGTCATGTCATTTAAAACTGAGACAGGCCTTCCTTTTTGTTTCTCCTACTGATGAACATTACACCTTTATTTTAAAAATACAGATTTCTGTTCTTCCTACAAGGAGCGGGGGAGGGGGGAGGAGGGAGGGGGACAGGCAATTTGAAAGCTTACACAATTGAAAAATGGTTCTTATGTAATTCTTGTTGTTGCATCTATTATCTGCCTCAATGGTTGGTAATAATAAATACTTACTTTCTGAAAATTTATTCCAAATTTCTTTTGTCAGCAAAGTCACTTTCTCAGAGTGTGGGTTTTGTTTGTTGCTTATTTATTTGTTTCTTTACAGGAAGAATCGCCAAACTTATTCATGACTGGCTTTTACTGATCCTGATGCAAAAGCTGTTGTTTGATCATTTATTTATGACTAAAAGCTGCTTTAAAAGACATAGTTGCACAATAAAATATTTAAGCACTCTGATAGATCAGCAGGGAAGCAATATGAACTTACATTAAAAAGAATAGATATTAATGAATAGTCTCTAATATTTTAACCAATAGGTATCGGTTTACAAGAATTGCAGATAAACTCTGGATTTATTTTTATTTTTTTGCCACACACACAAAAATTCTAATAATTAATTCAACAAGAAAGCTAATTTATTTCAGTTGTTAGTCATTTTAATTACAGCACTTTGTTATCCTGAGTAAGAAATCATTTTGCTTCTCAGGAATGTTCTCCTCCTCTCCCCATTACGGACAACACCAAACAACAAAACCAGTTGCACCTCTATTTCTAAAGCCCTTGCTTCCCATAAATTGGTATTTAGATACCAACTAATAACTTGGTGGATTCAGCCCCTCAAGGCTATTGACAACCTGATTCCTCCCCCCTTCTGTTGTGTCTGCTGGTGAGTGAAGTTCTCACTAACAAAACCTAATGCTTACAAGACAGAAATAACAGCTGGAAGTTGGCACGTGATTTTGCACTACCTTCCCTTCAGCCCTGGCAAGTGCGACAGACTAATGATCAGTACCTAGAAAACCAAGTCAGTTTTGCAACCCTTGCTCAGGCGCATGTTAGGGTCTGTGAAACCAGAGATCTATGTTGAATGACTTTAATTTTACTTCTTTTGATCGAAAGGATCTGAAAAGGCGACCTACCTTTATGGGTCAGGCGTAACCGGGGCTGAGCGGTGTCAGCTGCGTGCCCTCCCGCCCAGAGCTCCAGTAAGTAAGCCCACAGGAGCCAGGTGAGAAGGGAGCCGGGCGATGCCATGCTGCCGCTCCCCCTGCCAGTCCTCCGGTCCTCAGTGGAAGGCGTCTGAGTTTCACTTAGGACTCCCCTCCGGGGGCAGCGTGGGAGAGGCTTTGTCAGAAATCGCACGCCCTGTCATCAGAAAGCACAGTCCCAAAGTGCCATTTGTCAGGCGGTATTTGGATATGCAAAACCTTTCTTTCCCCCCGGACAGTTGTTTATGAGCCCCGAGCAAGAGGACATTCCAAGGAGCGAGTCTTCAGAGCCATGCCCTGCGCTCTCTCCGGGAGCGACGCGGTCGATCCAGGGAGAAACCGGGGTCTGCAGCCACTTCTGCCAGCAGTTGGTTCAGCCAGGAGCCCCCGGCACACGCACCGCCTTCCTCCTCCGGGGAGCGCTCCTCTCCGGCTCCCCGAAGCCGCTCGCGGTCCGCCTCTGGCACCGACTTGCCAAACGGCTCGTTTTCATTCACCTTTCCCCCTGCTAATTAAAAACAAGCTGTGCCATCCCCACCAGGAGTTGCCGATCCACCCTGCAGGGATGGGGAGCTGTCAGCGAGCCGAGCCGTGTCTGCGGGGAAAGTTCAGGCAGGGTTGAGCGTGCTGGCTGTTTCTAGGAAGTGTTTCTGCTGCACGTGCCCCGCTCCCACCCGCCCTCCCGGTGTCAGGCCGCGCCACGCCCTCCGCCTGGAGGCAAGTCCGCCCAGGGATGGGGAAGGGGTCGGGAGGGAGGATGGTATAGAACAGGCGGGCGATTTCAGAACAGGTCACAGAAGAGGATGTTGTGTCAGGGAGGGCTTTTGCATGCCCAGTGACCAAGAGTAACCCTTGAATAAATACAAATTCACTCTAAGGCCTCCATTGGTCACCATCTACTACCAAAATTGATTTTTTTTAGAGTTTCCGCTGATTTTTTTTTTTTTTACATTTATGGCTTTTTATATTGATGACATCTTACAAATGTTACTTTCAACTCTTATCAGGGAAGTGTGTTTCAAGAACCTGAAAAAAAAAAAAATGTTCTCTCTCATAGATGTGCAGGAACTAATTATTTTTGCTGAGGCAAATTCTTCAGATCAATTCAAAGCAAATCATACATTTTATCTTCAATTTAAGAATAATTCAGTTTTCAAGTACGTTGCTCCTAGATAAGGTAACTATGGTAAAGTTGAGATTCTCTAACCAACAGACCCCCCAAAAAGCAGGTATCAGGAAACTCAGGATGTGACATACCATAGGGTTCAACTGCTGTGCACTTTCAGAGTTTATTTTCCTAGACACTACTTTGTGTAAATAAGCTTAACACAATGGGTCAACTTTACAATCTACTTTCAATCAATCTCAAAAACAAAACCAAACACTCTCTAGCTGTTGGCATGGAAATGAATGGGATTATTTTGAGATACCAATAAACTTAAATAGATATTTGATTTGAGAGTTGAGAGTTAAATGGTAAACAACTTTCAACTATGATTACTTTTTTTTCTTCTGCGTTTTAAATGATAATGATTAAGGAGACTTCTTTGAGAGGTATGTTTTTGTTTTTTTAATCATGTGTTACCCTGACATTTTGCATTCTATACAAGCAAATGTAGAGCCTGGCATGCTCTACCCATTTTCTTAAGCATGATATAGTCTATTAAAAAGCAGAGTATATTTAGCAAAATGTAAATGTCACTGGGTATTATAAATAATTAGATTTCCCAGATCTACAAAAGATTACAAACTCTAAACATTATTTAACAGTAAAGAGACCATGAAGCATTTAGAGACTTTTAACCTGGGGTGGTCTCTGTAGGCACTTGAATATTTTAAAAGCCAGTCAGATGAGCTACAGAACGAAAGGCTGTCGTAAATGTGATATACCGTACCTTTGGAATCCTCTTTCATTTTCTTCCAGAATTGAAGTAACCAGAAAATAAATAGCAGTTTTACACATATTATCTAATGGTAGGATTCTGGAAAAGTAAATATGATGCATATAACTTTTATTGCAAATATATGGCTGCTCTCATAAAATTAAATCCTACCTAAGATTACACAGGGCCTGTCCTAAGTCAGTTATGGAACAGAGGCAATGCAAGATGTATCCCATTTCATTAGGATACAGAATTCACACCATCAAATATCAGTGCAGGAATAAATGTTACGAATGCCAGTTATATACTAGTACATACAAGCTATCATGATTGTACATACCAAGATTCATTTCCAGTTTCACATGTTATCCTTCATCTTAGATTAGCAAGACAATGTGTCACATGCCATAGTAACGAGTTCCTTTGGTTTTCTCAAAATGTGCTTTGGTTTATCCTCTGTCATCAATGTCATTGCTTATTCCCTTTAACTCCTTACTATATCCTTCTACCTTTCTCATTAACCTGTAGAAAACACACAGATGATGCCAAAAAAAAAGTGACTATTAAAAAAAAAACACCCAAAACTAAACGTCCAGAACTTTCCATGTAACTTAAGCTCCTGGCAATGAAATGAAGAGTCTTTGACACCAAATCTGTCATTCACATCATAAAACAAGAACCCTCAGAAGCAGGGTAACCATATAATTTGTCTTCCAAATAAGGTATGTTTGAGAGTAAAAGAGCCTTCTAGTCATAATCACATGCAAACTAAGAATATTATAAATAAATCAGGATATCAAAGTTACCCTACTTGGCAAAGATTACTCGGTATCATTGGAAAATATGGAAATGAAAGAACAAAACAACAACAAACACTTGACACCACCAACAGTGAATGAAGAGCTTTGGTGATCAACAGAGCTTTGGTACTAGCAACAGTACCTGTTGATATTATTGTAGTTGATTTGGAAAGAGCTAGACTACCAGTTTGAATACATTAGACAACATAAAAAAAAAAAAAAAAAGGCGCGGAGGGAAGTGGCAATTCTGAAGGTATTGCCTGACAGGTCAAATGTCTCATCCCAAATCTTAACCCTTTATTGCTAGTGTCACATGACACTATGAAGGGCAGCTGGGTCTGGCAGTAAGAGAAAAAGGGGAATGGAGTACTCCTCGGGAGTTCTGGGCTCTCCCGTGGTGGCTTCTGTCACTGGTCTCCGGATTGTACAGGCAGCTGGCCTCTGAAACCATCCCTCACAGGAGGTGGCCCTACACTGTCTGCTGCTGAATCCTGTAGGTACTTGTTAAAAGACGAGATTCCTGTGCCCAGCCCATATTCCCGGAGTGCCAAATTGTATGTTCTAAAATTTGAGTTTTACTATGATTTCTTTAGGTCAGTGTTATTCGAACATTTCACATCTGTTTACCACTTTCACCATTTTTATCATGATAGTGTAGTATCTGCAATTAAAATTTAACTTAACTTAAATTTCCTCATAGGCTTGTTGTGCTACTTATAGTTTTCAAATACATGTGAAAAACAGAAAAAATTGTAAAAGGTTATCTCTCTCCCATTTAAAATGATCTCACATACTATGGGAGACGGTACTAACTAATGGCCTCAAGAATGGCCATTCCTTTTTTCCTTACCCAGAAAGATGCGAGATTATATATATGAAATTGTACTTCCCAGCCCCTTGGCAGCTTGTCTAATTTTGACCAAATAAATGTAAGCAAAAGTGATATGTATCACATCTGGCCTGAGGCAGATACTTCTTAGAAATACTTCTAAGTAATTCTTCTGTTTCTTTCTACAGCAAAGGAGTAATCATGAAATCTAAGCATCTTGGATGATTGAATCTCCACCTTAGGGACAGTGCCTTGGAAAGTTACCCAGACCCACAGCCAACTTTATATGAGCAAAAACTAAACATATGTTACGTTAAGCTGTTAGGTTTATTTGTTACAACCGCATAGCATAGCCTCTTCTGACTAAATGCATACATTGTACCTACTGTGCTTTGGGAAACGGGCTCTTGGGCACACATATAGCATGAACAAGTACTGATACTGTATTCCTTCCTATCTGTCTCTAAAACTACTTCAGCAGAAGTGTCTAAGGCAGCCAATGATAGACGTGGATACCTGGCGGCTATGTAAAAGATAAAGTGATTCCCTATGTCATTTCTACAATGGGATGGGGTATGCCCTTGGATTTTCCCTGAACATCGTGCACAAAAAATGACGTTGTAAGCAGTATTTATAGGTGAACAACATAGTACTACATCTCAAGAACATTATGATTAAAACCATTAGTATACCGAAGTATCACGATAGCAATAATGAGGGTTCTTTTGATAACCAAAGATAAACTTTATCTACAGCAGCCGTGGCATTTCAGGTTCACTAATCCTTCTTCTACTCCTGCTGGCCCTGCAACATCTCAAATGTCCCAGGATGGCCTGCTATTGCTGCTGTGGCTGCCATCACTACTGCTGGGTTTTGCAGGCAAGACTGCTGATGCATTTTTGGGTCAGTCAGTTCAGATGCCTTGTATCACAGACTCTGAAAGGGTTCCAGAAGTCTGGATTGACTATTTCCCACATTCGCTGATTCAGGAAGATGAGGAAAAATAGTAAATTAGTTCACTTCTGATGTGTTTGTGTGTGGCATCCCATCAATCAGTACCATCCAGGATCCAATCTAGTCACTTGCCTGAAAGAGATTTGGCTGATGCCATTGTGATGTCATCATTTAGATAGCTAGCAGCTCACTAAATGTGTCTTATATTTTTCCATTTTGATCATCCATTCATTAAATTTGAGCAAAATGTATACTTTATAGAATTTCAAATTCTTTGTTTCTGACTTACACTAGGTTTATTCTAATTTTCTTTTTGGTCCTTGACTACAAAAAAAAAAGCAGAAAAAGCATTTTGAGCATTTTATGCCAAGTGTTGGCTTTCATTGATTTCAACCAGAGAGCAGTGATGGTTCTCATGCTCTCTTTATGGAAAAATAAAATTGTTATGTGTGTCATTAACACTGAAAATCCTTTAATTTATCAGTCCTCAGAGGTTTCTCTATATTCCTCCTTATAAGGTTATAGAGAATTCCTAAAAAAGACAGAATTCCTATCACTGGCTTAAAAAATGCAACAGAAACCTCCATCACATATTGCTTTTCATGTCTGTTGTAACATATATTTCTGTTATTGGTGCCACCAATGGTGAATTGTTTATACTATACTAGGTACCCAATGCACAAAATTCGTGCAAGGGGCTCAGCCCCTGCCGCCACGGCTGCCAGCTGCGGCCACCTCCTTTGCCTCAGCCCCTACCCGCCGCAGTGGCCATCTCGGCCCTAGCAGCCCCAGCTTCGTCCAGAAGGTCGTTGGGAAGGACGTCCAGTCTAATTAGCATATTATGTTTTTATTATTATAGATGACTAGTATCCTTAAAATTTTACACCATATATCAATCTAATGGAATGAAAATAATGATTAGTGTTCATTTGTTGTTTTCTCTATGCTGAGCACTGTGAAAAGCACAATTATACAAAATTCAGTTTAACCCAGACAACAACCCTATGCAATAGATATTATTTCTATCGCCACTTATACATAAGGAGAATCTGGAACACAGATATTAAGTAACTTGTCTGAGGCAAAATGCCTGTGAGCAACAGAACTATCAGTTTAAACCCAGACTCTAGGTCCTGTGCTCCAACCCAAACACTTGCCCTCTCGGAGAAT